AATGTGAGTAAATATATTCGTGAATACGAAATACGTCGTTAAATGTGAATTAGTATATTTATTGAATATTAATTAAGTTGCTGAATGTGAATAAATATATTCGTGAATAATAATAACGACATTAAATGTGAATGAATATAAACTTTGTGAATTTTGCACCATTTCGCCAACCATATACAACAACCAATAGAAATGATGTAATGAGCCAATCGGAATTCAACGCCAGAAAACGGAACTGGTGTCAAGAGCGGGAAAACGCGCTTAAACCAAATCATGGCCAAGCGTTTGGTCCTGATTAATTTGGGCACCTACCAGCTTTTTGAACCTTTTTCTAGCTTATTTTTTACAAAAACCAAACAAAACAAAACAACCTTCTACAGTCAATCGAAAAAGCAACATAACACTGGAAATTCTGATCTTTTTTAGTTTAGTTCTTTTAGGCAAAGAGATTGCAACTAACGTAAGGACTACCATAATGAATTCTACAAGAAATCAGAACAAACAAAAGTTTAATAATTTTGATTTTCGCGAAGTTGACATTTCGGTGACTGAAAAACCGTGCAAGACAGCCCGATTAAATTGTCTGGTGCAACAGTTTTCGGTACACCCAATAACTTCATGTCCTACAGTAAACATGTGTTGTACTAAACCAGTGCAATAATATTGTGGACAACCGTACTTCTCATTAAGTTAATTTTGGCAAATACTTAGTAAACGATTCATGAAATTAGCGAAAGACAGACTCTCGCGAAATAAATAGGCATTATCTCCTACGATATTCCACTATTGCAAGCTATTGCAATCCGGTAGTGATGCTCTCCCAGTTTAGCTTTGGTTACAGCCTGCGTGCAGACTGGAATAATCAATAGAATACCTAGATGACAAGACTTTCGCGCGACATGATGTCCCTACCTTTCTTCAAACATTAGTTGCTGACGTTCCTAACACTGAGAGAAAGTTACGCTATACGTCGCGTCTAGAAAATTTTTGCTGCCGTTCCCTTCTGTCCTTTTCCAAAAATTAAAAACCTTTGCGATCTAATTTGCAATTTGTTTCAATCTCCCTCACAACGGAATCGGAAACATTCACACTTCTCTTAAACTTCCAATATTATCCTCATGGTTATATTTATAATTTTCAACCAACATTCTTTACATTTTCGGTGACTTGTAAAAAATTTAGCGTGTTTAATCAAGTATATTAGCATGTAGACGGAAATTGTACCATTATAATTAATTGATCACAAAAAGCTATACAGCAGTTAATTTCAGTATTTTTGATATATAATATCTGAGGATTTTAAAACTTATACACACAGGCATGTAAGCGAGCATTTTTCTTTTGTAATATTGGCTTGCCCTCTGGATCAGCGGTTGATTTGATTTCATATCTGTAAACGAACTAGGCAATAGAACAGTTGTCCCTGATTCTTGACCGTCGCACTTTTCCTGTTTTTGAGCGTTGAGTGTGAAGGTTCTCTTCATCTGACCATTGCAGGCGAATACCGGTGGCAATCTCCTCGATTCTGTAGTAGATTTCCTCCGCTCGGGGCCGTTCGTGCGGGACATAATTCAAAGTATCCAAGATCAAAGTTCGGAATCCATTCTCCTCATTCAGCAGATAACCGTGAGTGAATTCGGTCATTGCAGCGCGGCCGAGCACTGCCATAGCGTATCCGAGACCAATCTTAACCTCGCCTGAAACCTTCACAAAGGCGCCGTACCATCGCTTCTCGTTGTTGGAGAAAGCAAAGTCTCGCACAAGAATCGCGTTAAATAACACTCCCAAGGAAAAAATGTCTGCTTTTTCAGTATAGTGGCAAGTAAATACCTCTGGAGCCATCCAGTGAGCTGGACCAGTCCCCGAACGCATATAATACTGCGCTAAACCACGGTTCGAACATGGTAAATCCACTCTTTTCAGAGCCAAAAACTCTCTTGCCAAGCCAAAGTCGCCAAGTTTCAAATCCTCTCTCGTGGAATCCGTTAGCAAAACGTTATCTGGTTTTAAATCACGGTGAACGATTTGACAAGAGTGGAGATAGCTCAACGCACTCGCCATTTGACTCAGCCATTTTAGGGTTTTCTCTTCACTACTGGGTTGAGACAGTCTGTCGTTCAAGGTACCACCAGAACAGTATTCAGTTAAGATCAGCACGTGAAATCCCCCTCGAGAGTCTTCAAACTGGTCAGCCGCTATGATTTTAACGATGAAGTCATGATTCACCCGACGGAGTGTTTCAACTTCGCTGATTGCCTTGCCAATGGACAATGGGTTCAAACACACGACATCTTTCAGAGCGTAACAAACAGAATCACTAGCAAGAAGGTCTCTTGCCTTGAATACAACACCAAAAGCACCACTTCCAAGTTGTCTCTGTATCTCAAGCTCGATTCCCTCGACAACTATTACTTGGCCGATGGGGAAAGAAGCAACTGTGTTGGAAGACATGTTTTTCACAGGCGCCAGGCACTTAACTTCGCATGAAGTTTTCTCACATCTTTAAGAACTCGGTCAACATCGCCACTTAAGTCGATTGCAAGATAATCCAATATAAAAGGCATGTTTATTTTGAACACAAAAGCAATATTTTACTTTGCTGTTGAAAAACTGAAGCAATATCATGTGTTTCTCCTATCACGTATATTATAATTATCGCACGTCTTAGATTTTTCAGTCTATAGAATTAAAAAACACTAAATGACAAATCAACGAGTATTTATCGCAATGTTCAAAGTAATCAGTCGGGACGAAACTCGACTTTAAAACGTGGTCGAATTTTTAAGTTTCCCATATTAAAAATATTGCAACTATTTTCATCGCCTCGCCATCGTCTGTCGCCTTCAACTCCTAATGGGTCAGCCGTACGATTTGCCAAGTAAAAATCTATTCTACAGAGCTCGACATTAACGCTAATCACACCTTAATGCTAAGGCTAATGCGAGTGTTTTGTTTTTGGCTTTGCGGGAGAAATATATACACACTAGCAAACATTTGCAATTAAGAAACGTCCATGTCTGCAAAACATTTCAAGAAAACCATTCAATGCCAAGAAAGAGACTATGAACGACATCTAAGACAAACAACAGCCGAAAAGAGCACGTGTGAGCCACCGGCCAGCGGTTTTGTCATATACCATCCATCTGCACATTCGCGTTGTTGTTTTTCGTTGCCTTGGGACTTGCCTAAAATACCTGTCTCCTTCAAGAGGCCCTCGACCTCTTATGCGAACGAGAATGGCAATGAAGACCTTGAGCCTTTGAAGTCGGTATCAAACCAAGTTGATTTCCAGAATTCACTCCAAAGAGAATGTAACCTCGTAAGTAAAAAATTTGCTGGTTTACTAGTGGGAAAAAAATCTTACTAGAAAAACTTTGCTAGTTGACTAAAAGCTTAACTTGAAGCTCTGATTATACAAAATCAAATCATCATACCTGGGTATATTGGGCATGAATGTATATTGCGATATACGTAGGTATGTCCAAATGTTGCTTAAAATAGGTGGCAGAGCCAGTAACGTAGAAAAGAATATGCGTGTCTGAAAATTATCCAATCAACAAAAAATGCAGTAAAACCAATATACACCTTACCATTCATAACTACGACATATTAAAAATCTACCTTGACTTCAGGATGAGGGGAAGAAAAGAAAAGACTCACATGGATGTTCTTTTAGGGTTGAACGAAAAGCTTTTGTTTTATTCCCTAAGACTCAGAACGAAAATAGAATTTTAGTAATTACACTTAGGTCATATGGGTCTAGTTGTACAATTTACTGACTCTGAGTAAGGGTACAGATTACTGATCAGTGCAGTGACGAAAAACGACGTAATTTGATATTTTAAAACCACTGAAGTTCAGCCTCGTTCCCAGTATGTTGCTTCGGAAGGTGCAGTGAGACTGGAGAAGAAATAACACAATGACGTCAGAGTAAACAAAAGGCAGAACCGGGCAAAGCTAGGCAAATTTTGCTCGGACACACACTAAACATTCACATTTCCCTGATAAATAAACTCAAGGCTATACCGATTAAGTGACCAAGAGAAGGTATCCTCTCTCATATCAGTGTACTATTCCATGTTTCATGGTTTTTAATAGCCTTCACTGTTAGTTTATTATCACATCTCAATAAACCAGCCGTCATTTCGTGGACGACAGCTACGGACCCACGTGGAAAATATTCATTTATTAGGGCGCACGCATTTATAATTAACGAAGGACAAGGCGAGCGCAGATGAAACGAAGGAATCGCAGTTTTTTTTTTTTTTTTTGGCCTGCACAACGCAGGAATCTTTTTCGTCTATTCACCTCTAAAAGAAATGCTACATTCAACGGACATTGTAAACGTAGCGTCCTTTCCTGTCTGTCGCGTGCGTTTTGATACGCGTGACTTTAACACCAATTCATCAATTACTATGCAATTTTATTTCAGTTCTCTTCGACGTATATGGAAACATTTTAGCCCATCTAGCGCCTCACATTCTCATTTTTCTCCTCTGAGCTAAGTTGCTAAGATCGTTTTGTGCCGCTTCTGATCAATGAGCATCACCCCTTGGCCCCTATTGTTTTCTCGCGCCAAACAAACAGGTCTAAATCGTATCCTTTTTGGGTAAAAACTCAATTCACATTTCCCGATCGTAATTTTGTCAACTGACTTTGACGGTCGAAGTGTTTTACATGTAATTGATGAAATAACCAGCGCAAAGTGATTGTATCTTACGGGCCTAAATTTTCACTTCACACTTGAATATTCCCAAACTATTGTCTCAATCAAAAATTCGAAGGCTAATTCGGGAAGTGACAAATAATTTCATTAAAATTGTCAAATGAAATTGAATTTGCATTGGCAGGTGAACTATGACTCCGCTTTAAAGCTATCAGATTTTTTTAGATTTTACGAAAATGCTGAAGACAAAAAAAAAAACATCGAAATAGGTACATGTTTTAATATAAAAGACTTTTATATATTGTCAACGAAGCGCTCTCCAATAATGGAAATTCTGTTAAACGAATTTACATGGCAAGGACAAGTCATGTCTATAATTAAACGTTTCGTCAAAGAACAGATCAGGCAAACAATAAGATCTAGAGGGTATATCAATGTTTTAACGGAGTAGTTGGAAAGATCCACGGCATTTATGGTGACGTGTCACTTTTCTTCGGTCTGTTGATCACAAAAACAAGTCAGGCAGCTTTGCTTTGAGTCTTTAATTGAAACGAGGGGATCTGAAAGAATTTTGACAGTCCATGTACCGCGTTCTCTTCGCTCAAAATTGTCAGAGTTTTTCCATGGCGTTGTTTACAGCTGTTTACGGTGTCGCTGATGGGCTTATTTCCGAGCGGGTAAATTTGTTGAATAAATTTGATTGTATATATTCTAGTTGCACCAGTGGTATGTAACATTACTGCAGGTGCTCTTTCTCTATGTCTCTCTCGCGATCTAAAAACTAATGAAGGAAAAAAAAAAAGAATTTCGGCGCCTTCAAAACCATTTACGACCCAAACGTTAACTTCTTAACCCACAGAATCGAGAGAAAATTCCGCATAATTCAAACGTTTTTAAAAGTCTGTCAAAATCTGTCACGTAACGCAGTGCTAGGGGATTCCCCGTTTTCGTTCGTAATCAGCGTCGCCATGGTGACTGCCCGGACATGCCCGCTGTTCTCTCGTATGATTGGTCAAACGTCCGTTCTTAAACAAAAGAACCGTTTTTAGAAACACTACGTCATGCCAATAAATAAAAACTTGATCCATTCGTGGTGCAATCTTTGTAGGCTCTTGCACTGGTTTAAACCGGTCACCTATAAAACAGCTCTTCATTTCTAGCGATCCCTTCGAACTGAACGCACGTGTTGTGATCGAGTCTGTGATTGTCATTCGTGAAAGACTCTCCGTTCCTCCGCTTTGCAGTCCATCCGAAAGCCATCCAATCCAATTCAACTTCTTTGTGCCTACGGAAGAGCCGATTTGCAGTGATTTTTGGCGCCGCTCATTGCCAACTGATTTTAAACTTTCAACATGATGCCAACAAACCTTAACAGCAGCGACATCTCCAGATCCTTTAATGATGACGAAGTTCTTGTCGGCAACATGGATTTTTCAGAGCTAGGCCACTTCTGGTTCACCTCGGAAGAGAAACAAGAAAGCGCGCAAAGTGTCCCAGAATCAACCCTGGACCTAAACGGGATGCCCGCATGGCTTAGCGAGACCTTTCAACCACAACACATTTACGAAGACGATGAACAAGACGATAAAGCCTCAGAGCAATCGATTGTGAGCCCATCTCTGTCTGAAAGCAGCTCTACAAGCACCGGACACTTTTTTCCGCAAGAAATGAGCGCCAAAGTAGCTCTGTTTACAGACAAAGAGCTGCGAGAGCTTGGTGTTAAAGAGATAAACAGCCTCCTGAAACTTAGGGGGCTGTCACAGGAGGAGGTTGCACAAGTGAAGCAAAAACGAAGGACACTGAAAAACAGGAGCTACGCGCAGCATTCCAGAATGCGACGAATCGAGAATAAGAACAATCTTGAAATCACAAGAGATAACTTAATGAAAGAGCTGGAACAAGTGCAAAGGCAGCTGGCTGTCACCGCCCGCGAGCGGGATTTCTTCAAGAACAAGTACGTGAAGCTTTTGGCCCAAGTTTCCAGGATGCCAGGACGAGTCCTCAAGATCAGCCCTTTAGAAACATGAACTAGACGTATCTTTCCACGAGGAAAGGGTTTGCTCTTAGAGAAACTAGATTAGAAACGCATTGTACATGTACAAGTAGAACGGAAAAGTTGTGAATTCGCTAGCGTGCGAAGAACTTGACTTCGTACGCGATCTGCGATCTTTAGCTCAGAATGAGTGAACTTATCATAGGTAACAGGCTCGTTGTTGTTTTAAAGATTTTACTATCAACCGTGGACATTTTAGCCCGTCGCTTTTCATGTGGTTTTCTTCTCGCGCATAACGAGCCGACGTCGCAGAACGTTTCCGAACGTTGCGTGACGTAATGAGTTATTCTTGTTTATGTTGTGGTAAAACCGCTGACTAAGTGGAAGAAATGTCAATCAATCACATGTATGTACAGAAGCGTAACAAATGCTTAACGTTCGTATAACAAACCTGTTATAACGTGTATTTAAGATGGACATACTGAAGCCAAAAAAAAAAAAAGAAATTCAAAGAAAAATAACAAAAGAAAATTATTGAAAAAAATTAAATATTTTTGTCACAAAAAAAAAAATAAAACACAAGACAAGCAAATGTGAATAAAAAATTGTGCTATTCAACCCTAAGAACTTTGTTACAATAAAAATTCAATGCCAATGTAAATCTTGGGAGAATACAGGGGAATTTTTTTACAGTACCCTGACCCAAGTGGCTGTTATTGTTAGCAACATTGTTAATGGATAAGATTGTAAATAGTATTTAAAATCTCAACAAAATCAAAAGGCTGCAACAGACAGTCCGATTTTAGTTTCTTCATTACTTCGTAGTGAAGAAACATTGGTGAGATTCACTGGTGTTTGTGTAATACTGAACAAAATAATATTGTATGTTGAAATAAAAGCACTGTTACTAGTTCTTGTCATATTGTGTTATTTATACTCTTTATGTCCCTCACTTTTACCTTGATAATCTTCAAAGAGCAAATGCCACAAAGTCAAAATGTTGCCAGAAATTTTCACCCCTGGACAGTATTCATTCTCCAAGTTTGTAAAAAACAACAGGGGGCTAGGGAGGATCATTTCCAGTCATCAGCTTTTGAGTAGGGCTGACATGCCCTGCTGGAAAAACAATGAAAGGAAAAGGCTAAAAATAAGCCCTGAGCTAATACTTGAGCAAAGGCAGGAAATAGTCATAAGAATTTTGGCATTTCAAAAGTGTTTTGGTTTATATTGATCTATTCTTCTTTTAGGGGGTGGGGGGGGGGGTCGTCATTCTATATAACAGAATTACAAGCCCCACACTTGTGATGACTGATCAACATCTCACATTGTGGTAAATAAACCACAGTTGAACCCCACAAAGCCCCTGGCTCACACAATGTCTACCCTGCTCAACATAGAGGTCCTATAAATATGAGAAGTTTCTAA